GGATCCCTTGAGCTCCTGCAGCCAGAGAAAGCCCACCGGTACCTGCAGGAGGTGCCATCAGAAGGCACCAGAAAAGAAGGCTGTGGATCCCTTTCCCACAAAACCAAAGGAAATAAACAGACGGCAAATAGCGAAGGGTGAATCCAGGTAGCTGGATAAGGGAGAGACCAGCCTCAGGCCTCCCACTTTGAGAAGGGTCAGCTAAATGAGGCTGAGGGTGGCGGTAAGATTCCAGCCGTTGCCAGACATTATAGTTCTTGCATCCGGTTAAAGCTCAAACCGGTGGCTGGTGACAACAGTACACTGGAGATGGAGACAACGCCCTGTACATGAGCACTTGACAGCCTGGACCCATTTGAGGAAATAAAGCTCAGGTATGAGACTGGCCAAAATTCTACCTCCTGGAAACTCAAGCTCAGCTCAGACCCTCTCCGGCCATCTCTCCCCTGGTCCCAGAGCCTCCTGCGACCACGCTTCTTCGCCTTTCTACACATCAAGGGCCAGGCAGTTTACGGAATGAGAATGATCACCCAGACCCGCAGAAGAAGGAAGGAAGGCCTCCCTTATGTAAACTAAGGCAGAGCGCAAGAAAACATGGCCAAATGCTTTTCAGTGAAGTGTGTATAACGTTGATACCAAAACCTGACAAAGTTTGTAGCAAGGAAGGAAGAGAGGGCGGGAGGAAGGCAGGAAGAAAGGGAGACAGGGGTGGGGGAACCACAGCCCAATCTTACGTGTGAAGATTCATGAAAAATTTGAAATAAAACATTAATAAGCAGAATCTAGCAGCACATTAATGGAATAATACAACTTATTTCAGGAAACTCACTCCTAGAATGAAAGGATGGTTCAGGATTTTTTTGAAAACTCATTAATATAATTCAGGAAATTCATTAATATAATTCATCAGATTCATAGATTTGACAAGAGAAGTCATACCGTCAACTCCATAGATGCTCAAAGGCCAGTGACAAACTCGACAACCATTCTTGATTAAAAAAGACAAACCATAAAAGAATCCCTTTATCCCCATGGAGCGGAGAAGGGCTTTCTAATTATGACGCAAAACCCACATGTCAAAAAAAGACAGAACTGAAAACTCGACGACAAGAAAATCCAAAAACAAGCTCTACATGCAAAAAAGTCAATAAAAATAACATGCTAACAAAGTCAGAAGACGGACTGGAAAAAACATTCACAACTTTTATCACAGGCAAAGAGCCAACCTCCCTAACATATAAGGGGCTTGTAGAAATTAGTAAGGAAACCACAAAACGAAAGAAAAAAAATAGACAAAGGACACGATGAAACATTTTCTAGAAAAAGAAATACAGATGCATCTTAAAGATAATTAAAGATGCTCTATCTCACTCAACGAGAAAAGAAACACAAAATAAAACTACATTGAGATGCCATTTGTCACCCATGATATTAATAAGACGCCACAGGTGTGGAGATAGTGCACTGTGTTAGGAAGATGGGGACAGTATAAATGGGTGTGTCCCTCGGGTGGGCCAGGGGGCTGCCTCTCAAAGCCATAAGCTCCCTTATGCTTCCAGGAGGCAGTCCCGATCCTGGAATTCCATCCTACAGATACTGGCGCACACATTCAAAATAGTATACGTTCAAAGTTATTCACATCAACATTTTTTGTCAAAATATTAGATGCGATCCAAGTGTCCATCAACAGAAGACCTGTTAAATAAATTATGGAAATCCAGACAATGGAATACTATGCAACTGTAAAAAATGAGGGACTCTCAGAGGTACACAGTACTATGTGGGAAATAAACACAAAATACAAAAAACTACCTTTTGCATAAAAGGGAGTAGAATAAAAACACACATTTACAGGGTCGGCTGAGTGGCTCAGTTAGTTAAGAGCTCGCTCAAGAGTTTGAGCTCTAAGCAATAGAGGTTCAAGTCCCGGCCCAAGCTGAGCAGCTGCTGAACTGCCAACAGGTGGCAGGATGGCTCAGCTAAAACAAAACAAAACAAAACAAAAAAAAACAAACATTTACCCTTACTTATATTAGGCGAAAAATCTGAAAGGATGCACAAGGAACTAAAATTGTTTACCCGAGGGTGGGGTGGCAAACGTGAACCATGCAGACGCAGTGGGATGGGAGAGAGAGCCTTTTCATCATATAACTTCTTTTACATCTTCTGTTTTTGAACCATGTGAATTTACTGCCTATTCAACAATTTTAAAACTTAATGCATGTGTTTGAAGATGCTTTAAGATTTTTCTGGAAGAATATACATTGTTGGTGGCAGTTATCTCTGGGCAGTTGAGGGTGGTGGGGGAAAAGGACTTTGACTTGTCATTTGGGCCTTTGGGTTGTTTGCCATGTACACATACAACTTCTCAGTCAAAAACTACTAATTAGTTATTTATGTTGCCGTGTCTCTGAATACACAGGAACAAGCCATCATGTGGGTTCCTCTTGGGCGTGGGATTATTGGGGCTAGGGCATCAGAGAAGGAGCTTTCCTATCGTTTCTTACCTAAGTCTGTGATTTTTACATGTATGCTGTAAGAGACAAGAGGGGAATTGAATTAAGAGGATCTCTTCATCATCCCTCCCCCCACAAAAGGGACATGGGTGAACTAAGGAGAGTTTGCAAAGATGAATTTTTTTAACTTTATTGGGGAACAATGTGTTTTTTCGGGGGACAATGTGTTTTTTTCAGGACCCATTAGCTCGAAGTCAAGTTGTCCTTCAGTCTTAGTTGTGGAGGGAGCATGCAGGAGTTGAACAGGCAACCTTGTTGTTAAGAGCACGCGCTCTAGGGGGGTTGTTACTTTGTGAGGGTGAAAACGGTAACTATTGCATTGTTCTGTACACCTGAAACTAACAATAAAAAAATAAATAAAAAAAGAGCACGCGCTCTAACCAACTGAGCCGCCCACCAGCAGCTCAGCTCAAGTTGTTGTCTTCAATCTATTATAGTTGTGGAGGGCGCAGCTCACTGGCCCATGTGGGAATCAAACCGGTGACCGGCGACCCTGTTGCTCAGAGCACGCACTCTAACCAACTGAGCCACCAGCCCACCCAAAGATGAGTTTTTATAATATGTAAGATCTGGGAGATCTAAGCTGCTGCTGGGCGGTGACTTGAAGAGGAATTTCAAAGGTAGGCCAGAAATGCCTTAAGCTTGTAGTGCTATTGGGGGAAATCCCCAAAGTTATGCCCTCAGGGAAGAAGAAAGGAACTGAGGATGTAAGATCTGGTTTTGTTCCCTTTGTGATTCATCAAAACTTCCTACCCAGAGCAGCGAGGCCTGTTCTCTAGACAAAAAGATAATTGGACATTTTATGGTTACTGTTTCTTTGACTTTCTGGTGGACCACGGGTTTTCTTCACACAGGTGTAGTGCAAGAAGCATTGAAGACCTGAGGACCTGAGACCCTGCAAAGCCCTCTCCCTGCCCTGCTCTGTGACTCCCACCTTCTTCTGACCCCAGGTTCTTCCAGGGTTACAGGCAGGGGCCAAATCCAGTGAGCCCAGCTGGATGTGAAATGCTGTGACTGCAACTGAAAAAGAAACAAAGGAAGAATAAAGGGTCAGGTGTTATGATGGTGATGATGGCGATGATGACAGCTAATATTTATTGTCAGGCCCACTCATTATCTCATTTACTCTTACTACCTCCACTTACAGCTGAAGAGCTTAGAATCAAAAAGGGAGGTGAGGGGGCCGGCCGAGTGGCGCGATGGTTAAGAACTCGCTTGGGATGCCAGAGGGCCCCGGTTCGGATCCCACATATGAGGGCCAGTGACACTG